TCCCTTCAGGGCACGGCTTCTTTGCCCTCTCAGTTACACACCTGTCAAGTGTTTAATTTGCCAAAGGGAAACAGTTTGATTTCTAAGGGCAATCTTAATACTGTAGAAGCAAATTGGAAAAATTAAACATCATTGAATAGAAGTAATGAGAAGGATTGGAGGGGAAAAATTGCAGGTTTAATTCAACAAGGCATGTCAGCATCTGTCATTAATGCAACAATATGATCATGTTCTTCAGTATGCCATATATACCTCAAGCTTTTCAGTTATTCACTTCCTCTGCTTTTCTAAAAGACAGAGAATGATATTGGGCATGGGGGGGTGCTGGCAATAGTAAAAAAGATGCAAGCAGTAATTTCCACCTACTGTGCATATATTGTACATTGAAAATATAAGATAGGTATAAGGTAACAAATTAAAACTAGCAAAGGTTAACTTGTATGGTCACTGGATTAAAAGCATGAAAAAATTTTATTCTTTACATTATTAAATTATAAACATTCATGAATTAGTATTCTTAAATTTAACATAATAATGTCTAGAAATTTATAATTAAATTTTAAAATAGAAAATAATATAATTATTGAAATTTTACTAGACTCATATAAAAAATAAAAAGGACCAGGACTTAGAAACTGGTAAATAAAAGGAATTGGTAAAGATAGCATGCACCTATACTAGACTGGAGAAACTTCACAGAATACATATGCAAATCCAAAATCTCAAAGTCCTGGGAAAAGTCACCAACCTTTGAGAGACACACAAGCATCAAGTCTATCCTTGAAAGAAACAAACCAGAGATCTAAAACAGGCTGCAGATCCCAAAGGCAGTGAAAAAACCTCCATCTACCTGTAGCTCTGCATTATAAAGGTATCACTTACCCTCTTGGGCCCCTGTGACAAACAGGGCACAGCTACCCATCTCCCTCCTTTTCTACTAGTTTTCTCTTCTACAGGACAAATGGCCAAGGAAACACAAGTTCAAATCTATCTAAGACACGGCAGCAGAATTCAAGGCCCTCACAACTTCATCTTGAACATGTACTGTAAGAATGTAATGTAGAGTCCAGCGGCTACTCAGGACACAATAGTCTGCAATAGTTCCCGCCTTTCATGGATGCCTTATTACTGAGGCACTGTCTGTGAGTTCCTAGTTAAAAGACTTCCTGGTACCTAAGAAGTAGGTTTATATCAAAGGAGGTATTGATGGACACACATCCTGCTCCCATCCCGCACCCTGCCTCCTGCCTGGGAATTCAACAGACTGACTGCAGAACTGTTCCACAAAACATCCCCTATCCTCATAAATATGTAAGAAGATCCATGTGTAGCCTGATTTGTCTCTCTTCAGAATCCCCATCATGCTATCTATTTCTGGTGCTGGGACCTGAACACTTCTCAGAGCTCTGTCCATGCTGTCATCTGTCGATCCGTCTATAGAGTTAAATAAGCTTACATCCCTATGGAATAATCTGTCTCAGTATCCTCTACAGTATCAGAGATTTTCCTACATAAGTAGCAAAAATCACAGCAGGCTATGTTTGGTCATAGAATGGGAGATTCCCTACAATACTCAATAGATTTCCCAGCAGGCTTCATATGAATTGTGTAGCTCCACACAGCCTTAGAGGTACATCCTATTTCCACTTAGAAACAATTTATGTGTATGGTTATGTGAATGTACACCATATATGTTCATACAGAGGCCAGAAGAGTGCACTGGATCTCCTGTAGCTGTAGTTACTTTAGTTGTGAATGGGTGCTGGTAACTAAACTGGGTTCTCTGGAAGAATGGCAAGTAGCTGTAACTGCTGAGCCACTTTCTCATCACCTAAATTAACTTGCGTCTCCTGATTGGGCATATGTTGTTTCTGCTCTTTAACTTTACAACTGGGTCTCAGGAAATAAACTATTCATTCATGTAAGATATTGACTTGATTTCAGGGGGAAAAGCATGAATTGTCATCCATAAAAGGACACCTGAGCCAGGTGGTGGTAGTGCATGCCTTTCAATCCAAACACTCGGGAGGCGGAGCCAGGCGGATCTCTGTGAGTTCAAGGCCAGCCTGGTCTACAGAGCGAGATCCAGGACAGGCACCAAAACTACACAAAGAAACTCTGTCTTGAGAAACCAAAAATAAATAAATAAATGAATGAATAAACAAACGAACACCTGGACTGTGGTAATGTGCTTTCTTTTGAGTTGAGTGTTAGAAACAAATGCATAAGATTGTCATATAATTTGTGTGTACATATATACTCATGTGTATGAGTATATTCTAATATACACACATGTGGAGACCAGAGATCCACTTTGAATGTCCTGTTTAATAGCAATCTACTTTGTTCTTGGAGACAGGTCTCTCACTGGCCTGAGCAAAATGATTAGCCCAGGCTGGCTGGCTGGTGAGCTGCAAGATTCTGCCTGTGTCTGCCTCCCCAGGCTTGGATTATAAGTGCCTCCCAATATGACTGATCTTTTTATATGCATTCTGGGGATCAACTTCTCAACTTCTGGTTCCTACATTTATATAGCAAGCTCTTTACTGCCTTGGTGCATATTATCTAGTGAAAGTACACAGTTCTTACTCTTTCTGTGTTCACCTTTGGGTCCCACAATTGCAGATGTGCAGAGTGGTCATTACTACTTGTTTCTAGGCTCCACAGCCACCTCTCTCCCCTACTCAATGTGTAGAATTCATGCTGTTTGATGGCTATTCCCATGTCATCCCAGGAAATGCTCTTCATTTTGTCAGTTAAAACAGGGTTCTGTTAGCTTTGTCACGTTCAGAATCTTTCAATTTGTGCCCCCTTAGAGAGCAGTACCAAGGGACACTGATCTCTCCTCAGACACCTGGTTTAAAATCCGGGAGTCCATTGTTTAATTCTAAGTCTCCAGCATTTGTCTTACACACTTCCTCAAGTTCACTTTGAGTGTTAGCATCTTCAATCCTCAGACCTTTCTAACCAACTCCCAGTAACACATTTTCTGTCTTCATTTTTTGTTGTTGTTTGTTTTTGTTCTTGTTGACTGATAAACCCAAACCTTATTCTTTCCCATATGTGGGAAATATGATGAGAAATTGTCTCACTTTTTAGATTTGTTTTTATAAGAAGTAGCACTGTTGGGGCTGGAGAGATGGGTCAGTGGTCAAAAGCCATTTCTGTTCCTATAGAGGACCCAGGTTCAGTTCCCAGTACCCATAATTGGCAGCACATAACCTCGTAAAACTCTTCTGCCCTCTGTGGTGCATCTGAATATGTATGGTCCACATAATATACTCAGGAAAATACATGTAAACATTGAACAAAAAAATATCAAGAAAGAAAAAAGGAAAAACAAAAGAACCAGCAGAACCAGTGCAACCTCTAGGCCACTGGAGTCCTTTCATCAGACACAGTGGACACAAACCCTCTTCCCTGCAGAAGGCTGGCTAGTAGACAGAGATCCAGCTACTTTGCTTGACTACTAGCTTATTTTAACACTGGGTATAGGACTTAATTTTCCATTCATTTCAACTATGTGCTCACACAGTACACTAAGAAGACCTCTGTTCAATTTCCTTACACTCTGGAAAAGAAACCAAAAAAAAACAGATAATTTCTCATACCATATTTATGCTTATATTCTAGACACTAATTTCTCCAAAAGGTTGCTAATCCATTAATATTGAAAACCAATCTTTACAATAAATTATCAAGAAGAGAAACACATACATACAACAAAAACTCTTTTTTAAATGTACAACCATGACTTTTTAAATAATTAAGCTGAAATTTTACAACAGAAAATAGTTGGTGGGGGTGCATGAGTGTCTACACATTACCATGTGCAGGTGTATGTGCATGCAGGATCCTTTGTTTCTTTCTCCCCAGCACTCACACCCAGCTTGTCTGTGGCTGTTGTTTTCATGTGTTTGTTTGTTAATACAGGGTCCTGGAGACGGGACACTCGGTTGACTGATCTATCTCCTCAGCCCAATAAAAAAATATTTCTGAAGATTTTTATTTCTGGGGAATTTCAAAAGCATTTCAAACCCAGAATCTGGGTTAGGTTGGAGGACAACAAGCGTGCTGCCCTACTCTCTATCTCTTGGCATCTGGAACATCCATCCTGTTAGAATTGTTCGTTCACTGAATTATGAAACTAGTTTTTAAGTTTCATTTTTATCCTTTTAAGGCAGAATATTTGCTAGCAAGTCATCCATAACCATTAAATTAATTCTAAAAACCTGAGAACATAATTAAATTGACTTCAAACCTTGAGAGGATAAGAACTGTTTTAAAAATATTTTTAAAACCTGTGAAATGGTGATTAAATTAAGTAAGTTCAAAGAACATCTGACTTTGGTTTTCATTCTGTCATGTGATATGCTTTCAGTTTTAATATAAACGTTCAAACTTTTTAATGTTCATAATTTTTACAGAGAATAAAAACGTGGTGTTACATTTAGAAATCCTAATGTTTATCACCATCTGATGCTGTCATGGAAGCAAGTGCTACTTGCACACTCTTAAGAAGTGAGAATTGCAGTTCCTTTAACTGATGACAATGTAATTATCCTTTTGCTGTCAAAATAGAGGTGACTTCCTTTCCTCACACACATGATTAAACATACAAATTCGTGCTACTCTGAAATCCTGTAGCTGTACTGGATGTCTGAATCTGAATGAGCAAGATCACATAACAACAGGGCTCAGTGATGATGAAAACCAATTCTGCAGCCACCCAGCCCAAACATTTTCATCAGCCTTCCTCCTGTAGGAGCTCGTGTCTAAGCATCCACACGAGCTTTCAACATAATGTCACATCATCCACAACAACGGGGACAAAAATAACAAGCAGGGAAAAAGCCACAGTGAGTCTAAATGTCTGTGAGTGGTTTAAGTGACTTCATTATTTATTAATGCATAGACAAGCCAGCCTGTGGAAAAGCACAAGCCTTTCACAAGATCTTTAGGACACATCATGAGGGCCACCTTGGGGGTTGACATCCTACCTGGTCTTTCAGCTGCTGTAGAGAAGTCTGAAGGTTCAGAATCTGACTGAAGAGTGGGCTCTGCAGAACAGACTTCAGGAGGCTCAGTTTGTCTTCATTTGCAACATCCCCACGTTCCTTGAGCTTGTTCTGCAAGCGCTCTGCTGCCTGCAGGGCTCTGGTTTTGTCTACTCCAAAGAGAAGCACCAGTCAATAACAGGATTCAAAAGACTTGTCAAATCTATGAAGACAGACGCTGCGCCTTTAGAAATCCTAAAACAACTCCCCCTAAGTGCCTAGCCTTGTCATATTTTAACTGAGTGCAAAACTATACAGCAGTACGTATTTTTAATTCAGTACAAGGACACTCTTTTAATGTTTAGATATTTTTCTCAAAATTAAGTAGCATATTTACATATGCTTCAAAACAATCCAGCTGCTTCAATAGAATTAGTACCTAAAGGGAGACCACAACCTCTCACTGTAAGCCTTTAAGTCTCTTACAATGAAATTCACTCAAGAGCAGGAACAGGGTATAGTACACACTTAGGCAAATAGTTGTAAAGTCACAGAAACTGACACAAATGATGTGTAACTGAACTCAGTGCCAGATGTTTCAGCTCTTGTGAAAATCGCATAAAGCCTTGCATGGCCTTAAAGATCTAAATCTCTTCTTCTAAAAAAAGGATATATGAAATTATTTTTACACATAAGAAAAAATGGATAATTAACCCATTAATAAGTGGATGTGAATGCCGCTGATGAATCATCTCCAAAATATAATAATTTCACATATTAAAAAATAAAGTATTCTATACTTGATAACTTAGGAGTATTAAATAATAGATATTTCAAAAGTCCTGGTTCAACTCTTGGAATGCTCTACCCTAAAATTAAATCGCATATTTACAAATGCTCCCAACCAATATAATTCAAATTACTATTAAACATGTTACAAATCAGATACGTTATGGAAGAGAGCATTGTCACAGTATGCCCTAATAGTCCTAGCAACCTACATACATGTTTCTACCAGTGAACTTCAACACACCTTGAATTATACAAACACAGGTTGTTACAATTTTTGAGTCAAATTTGTTTCTTCAAATGGAGATTGTTCAAATGTGTCACAACCCAGTCATGACGACAGCACATGCATCTATTGCCAAGCACAGTAATCAGAAAAGAGGGATCACCAGAGACAGTACTTGTAGCACCACATCTGGCATTCCACAGATACTGGGTAATTAAATACAAAATCATATCAATAATGAGGACATACACAAAAACAAGCTGAAATAAACAATATTGTTCCTGCAGAAATTCTAAGTGAAGAATGATAAAGACACACATGAAAATTTTGTTTGTTCTGTGTCCTGTTTTCCGTGGTAACTCAGAACACAAATCCATTACTAATATCTACATCAATTTTTAAAAGTTGTGCTACTTAATAACTAGTAACTGCTGACAATAAAATCCAGAAAGCAATGGTTTAATGGAAGCCATACTTTCCCTTTCCTTCTCCTGTATTATAAGGAACTTGCCTATTTCAACACAGAATGGGGCATGGAAAATGTATCCACACAGAATTTTATGATCCGAGTAGGAACAGAATCAAAAGTCCAATGTCACGAACAGCTCTTTTTTCCCTTTATTGTCCTAATCCCTCAAAACTGGTAACTGTTGAGGCATTGTCCTAGTGCCAGAGTGAAGTGCACATGCCCTTCAGTACTGTCTCCCGAGAGCGACCTGGAGAAGGCAGATTCTGCAGTGGGTGCCACACACGACAGCTTTCTATAATCGTTTCTAAAACTACACTGTGGTTTGGGAAAGAGAGTAATACATTGCAATGGAAATCCAGATCTCTCAGCCCAAATTCTCATGCAGAAATTAAACTCTTTGAAATGGATTTGAGAGATGATTACAGTCCTATTGGGCAGAACCAAGCACTCAGCAGCACCTGACCTGCACTAACAGGAAGGCTTCAGTACTAACTTCCTGTTAAGCTTTCTAGTGATACTCAAAAGCCATGACTGTATTCATAAAACAAAACAGGGCTTCCATGAAGCTTATTAAAACTCGTAATTTATAGACTATCTCACATGTTTATTTTTTATTATGAATGGTTTGTTTTTTATAACCACATGAATACATTTCCACAAACACAGAAATCCACTGTCTAGTTAATGCTACTGGATAAAAAAATTTAAACTATGTTACTGTAGCTATGTAGAACACAGCATACTGAAAGAGCAGTGTTAGCATGTTCAATTCTGACAAAAACAAGGAGAAAAGTCTTACCTATGGTTTCTAGCATCTTTTTCAGAGTTCAGTGTTCTCTATAATGACTCAAAACACCAACTAAAATAAAACTCTGAGGAGAAAGGAAATAAAATGGAGTCATTATGTTATAATAAGAAATGAAAGACTAAAAAGTGCTTGGTGCTACTATAATTCTTTTATTAAAATTATATTGACTTAAGTTTAACAGTTTTCTTCATATGCAGTGAAGGAATCATTTTAAAACTTTCTATAATACTTGCAATAAAAAGAAGGAAAGAAAGTTCTGTTCTAAACAAGATGGCAAAGTGTCCAAAGCATTTCCTTAGGAGCCTCTCAAGGTGGACCACTGGTGTCTTGAATTAACAGCAAGACCCTCACACCACAGAACAAGAGGGCTCACTGTGTACACTGAAGAAATCCTGTGAACAAACTGTGAAAAGCTGTTATCTTACCCCAGATGCTCACAGCACTAACTGGGAAGACAATACACACACCTCTGAAAATATACTATGACACCACCACAGTACAAGGGTTATAAACTGAATAAATAAAAAAAAGCACAGTGTTACATTTTCAAAGGTTTTCAAAATGTCTCCTGACTATAATGTTCTCCCTCAAAAAACAAAAAACAAAAACACAATACAAAACAAAACGCCAACCCCCAAATGTTCCCAATTGTTTCAACTGACACAAGTCTTTTGCTAAGGTAACACTTCCTTCACTAAGCCCCTTGAAATAATGGACACAAATCTGCAAAGCCACTGTCATTGACCATCTCCAACCTTATCCCCTAGCTATTCTTCACAGCCACCTCCACAGCTTGATCTCCTCACTACGGAAGGACAGAGTCTCCAGGAGAGAGCCAGTCCCTGGTCCAGAGCCAAAAGGAGTCTATACGATTCTTCTTCATTTTAAAAAGTAGAACAAGTTGTTACTGACCACAAAACAACAAGTGTTATTGACCAAATAATATCACACAGTATAAGGGCATATGTACAAAAATGCCATAGTGAAGCATATTATTTTATATGCTACCTTAAAATATAAAATATTACAACATATATGAAAATAAATAACAAAGTTCTTCATTCTTGGTCTTGAAAAAACAGGTCATTACTCTGAGAATCACCAATTGGCCCAACCACCTCTCTACAGGAAACTACACTTAGAATACCAGGCAGTACATAATGTGGTCAAACAATTGCATAGAACACCAATGCCTGCAATTTGCTCTGGGCAATAACAGAGGGCAGTGTTTACTTTCTGTATTCCTATTTGGAAATTACTCTGACAATACCAGCTCCATTCTAAGTAGAAAGATATCACAAAGACTGGTGCTTCCTTGAAACAGTTCCCCAGTATCAAGAGAAGACCCTGGCTCAGACCTAGAATCGAAATCAAAATAGCTATGTGACTATAAACAATGGGCCTAGCATCTCAATCTCAACTGTCCAGCGAACAAAGTCACTTATTATGTGTTCTACAACAAATAAAAAGGATATCATGGCAAGTTTTAGTTTACAAATGCTGCAGGGAGATCTTATAAATAAATCACAAATATTTTAATGTTACAAAGAAATTTGAATCATCTTCATAAAATAGCATATTATTAGATACCCTTTCAAAAAAATAACCCCTTGATTTATTGATTTCCATGCTGCTGGAGATCAAATGCAGAAGTCTGTGCATTCTACACAATCAGCCCTTCAAAAACTACCTTCTTCCTGAGATGAGAGGCTTTTCTTCAGTAGACAGTAACTAACACAGAGACCCACAACTGGACAGTGGGAGGGAGAGACCTTGGAGCACACTCTGTCTTAAATGGTATGTCTTCATCAAAGCCCTCCCCACTCAAGGCTCAGGGATCTATGCAGAAGAGGAGGCAGAAAGACTGTAAGAGCCAGCAGGGACGAATGACTCCAAGGAAACAGCATCCTCTGAGCACAACAGGACGGATAGGAGCTCACAGAGACAGCTGCAGCAGGCACGAGGTCTGCACAGGCTCATGCTGGACGGGGTCGCAGAACTAGAAGAGGGAAGGAGTCACAGGGACCCATACTTAACCAAAGCTATTTGCAACTGATGGCTCCTGGCAAAGAAAAAATATTAGTTTTCTTCAATGGACTGTCCCTGGGCATGGCAACTACACTTCAGGGCAGGCCACATACCCAGGAATCGCTGGCTAACACAAAATGAACTTCATGGGTTTTGTGTGCTTTTTTGATTCATTTTGCTTTGTTTTGATTTTTTTTTTTTTTTGGTCTTATTGGTCTTTTGTTTGTTAGCTTGATTTTTGTTTAGTGGATTTTGTGTGTGACTGTGTGCTCACTTGCAGAGCTGAAGGAGGTAAAACATGATCAAAATATACTGTATGAAAAAAATCAAATAAAAGAATATAAACTTAACATCCCTTGTTAATTTACTTATCTATTCTGAATCTGAGTATATTTAGAAATAAGTAACATGAAAAAGGTTTTGAAAGAAAAAATGCTATTGGTATACTCAATAAAGTCTTGGACAATACAAGTACCCTATGAAAACTCAGAGAAATATGGGCAGTGTTAAGGACATGCTCCAAGGCTAGCAGGCTTATGAAGAATCTGCAAAGCAGATCCCAACTGAGATAAATACTATTGCCCACATTCAGCAACAAGCCAGTGATGGAGAAACAGAACCTCAGGCTCCCCAACCAAAGAGCACTTACCATAAGTGTCAAAAAGGAAGACAGCTCAGGGGCAAGCCACAGACAGTAGTTTGCAGATAAAAGCATTACTTAGAAATTTAAAACAAAACAACAGAAAGCAGTTCCACAGTTGGCCCACTCTGATGTCCCTAAAATAAAAACGTAGCCTTCAGAGGTTTCCAAGGGATTTATATATCAACAACTGTGACAGGATAATATCCCAAAAAATCCATTTCTATTTATAAACAAACCTGTAAGAACAGAACTTTGGGGGTATGAAAAAAAATCAAGTCTACTCCCTCCAAACTACTGACCCTAATTCTCCTACTCACCTTTCAATTATCCCTCCCTTTTTACAGCTCAACATTATTCTAACTGTGCAATTACACAGGCAAGTAAAAAGCCCCCAGCATGCTGGGCACCATTCAAAGCACATTATTCAATTATTCTCTTAGTCCTCACAGTCCACTCACACATAACAAGAGGAAGCAGACACAGGGTAAGTCCCCTGCCTCAGTTGACATCACCAGTATGAAGTCAAGCTGCGAACACACAGTCTGGCTCTAGAGTGCACAGCTCAACCACTACAAAATGCTGCCTCTCAACAGGAGAAAAATTCACCTCATCCTAGTTTCCCCTTTTCGATGGTAAAATTGCCATGTAAAGCATTCCCTGATCTCCTGCTTTGCTCTTTGTTGCTGTGGTAACCAAACACTGACCATAACCAGCTTGGGAAGAGCAGGGTCTATTTGGTTTGTGTTTCCCTAACAAAGTCCATCCCTGAAGGAAGTCAGAGCAGAGATTCAAGCAGGAACCTGGAGACAGAAACTGAAGCAGAGGCCATGGAAGAATGCTGCTTACTCTCTTGCTCTTAAGGCTGGCTCAGCTTGCTTTCTTATGCAATCCAGGACTATCTGCACAGGGGTAGCACAGCCCACAGTGGGCTGGACCCTCCTACATTAATCATTAATCAAGAAAAAGTCCCTCCACTTACTACATGACCCTAGTTTATGTCAAGTTGATTAAAAAAACTTTAAAAAAACAACTAACCAGCACACCTATACAAGATTAAACCAATGAAGAAAACTAAACTCAATGTAAATAAAGTCTAAAATTAAATAGACTCGAATATACATTCAACACAGCTAGCTGTCAGAACAATCTGAACAAGTCAGAACTATGTAGCTTTAGAACATATTGGTAAGTCCTGTCAAAGAAAGATAACATTCATCACTTACATGACATTCACATATTTTAAACAAATCACTTTTAAAATGCAGTATTTTAAGAAAACTCCTCAAGAAAAAGTAAGCCTACTAATACTAACATTCAAAACATGGCTGTTGCATTTCAAGTGCTGGACTAATCCGCCAACACAGGGAGAGTCACAGAAGTAGTGGCTCCCCATCCAATCACCACGTGTTCTACTTTTTGCTGTATTGCCATCTGGCTATCACTGAACCTAAGGTCTGTGTCTGTAGCCACGCACGAGGAAGAACAGGGCACATCAATCATCACTCGGTGGATTTGGTATTCAGAAGGATTCTGACTATCTTGTTGCCCACAGTACCCTTTGGTGCCCCATATACTGTTCTCCCACCTTCCAGACAAGAAAGGTGTGAGGGCTTTGCAAAGTCACAGAGCTCTTGAGGGCGGGAAGTTGTACTTGAAATCTACTCTGCCTGATTTCCAGGCCCACACTCTATCATATCGCCCCTATTTGTTTACTCAGGTTCTCACATGTAGCACAGGCCAACCTCAATCTCATTATGTAGTCCTCAAGCTCTTAATCCTCTTCCCTCAGCCTACCAAGGATAAGTATGTGCTGCTGAATGCAGCTTTTACCATCTATTTTCCATATTACACTGAAAATAAAATTACATTTCACTTATTGGTAGAGGTACCAATTTTTTTTTAAAAAAAATGTGTAAGATGGTATATTAAGTTGTTACAACCTGTATAAAATAAGAGAATATAAAATGTATTATAGGTAGAGACAAATAGAGACATATTTGTAAGAAGCATAAAGTACATATTTATAAAAACTTTTTCCATGGTTTTTATAAAAATGCTCACAGTGAAACACAGTCAGGCCAGAGGGGAGAAGAACCACTGAGCACTGCATTCTTTAATTTTGCATCTTAACTGAGCACAGCCAGATTGAACAAATATAATAAACACAATGCCTACTTAAATTTGAATTATAAGAAAATAAATAATTTTGAAGTGTATATCTCTTCCAATACTTCAGAGATGTGTATACTAAAATCTAATTAGGTGTTTATATGAAATTCAAATTTAAGTAAAAATTTAAGTGAGCTTTTAATTGACAACCCTACTATCTTTGTATTTGTTTAGGAAAACTAAAACAGTATTTATAATTTTAGGTCTGTGTGCTTTCTGTAAAT